AGTCCACTTCTTTCTTAAAAGTTCTCTTACAATCTTCGCACTCCATATATAGACTAACATATCTTACATAGACGCGGGATGCGGGTAATCGCGGTACGAATCGAGGTGGGTACTTTAGACGGGTAATCCTCCGGTTGTCGTTGCGCTGGAACCCCCATCCCCTATACTACTCATGTAGTTGTACCATTGTATGCATTTCTGTGGATCTTCATAGGCCCTCACAGGACACTCTATGACTTCATTCGGAATTCGGAACTTTCTTTGTTGAGCCATTGCAATATCCAAAAACAAGGTATTAAAAAACTCAGAACTAACTTGATATTTATACTAACGGCTTTGTTTATACGAAGTCATATTTACAAAGTCATATTCATGGCTTGTAAAAAAAAAGACAGTTAAAATCCTACAATTCGAATATTATACATTTCAACTCGCCAAAAGTAAAAGAGAGTTCATCTTTACCATGCCATATTAAAACCTTTTTTTACCATTTTTTTCATCAAACCAACAGTGTAGCTATGGGCACTAAAATGGGTCCTAGCTATGCTAATTTATTCGTTGGCTACGTCGAACAACAGATTTTTGATCTCTGTCACGGTATCAAACCAGAACTGTTTTGTTGCTACATTGATGATATTACTGGCGCCACCTCTTGCTCTAAACGAGATTTAGAATCTTTCATTCTCTACATCAACTCCTTTCACCCTGCTCTTGAGTTTACATGGGAAATCGGTGAGACTTCCATCACATTTCTTGACATTTCTGTGAACATTTCTACCAACCATCTCAATACTACTATTCATTATAAGCCCACAGACTCTCACTCGTATTTACTTTATTCCTCCTCACACCCCAAACACACCCTCAACTCTATTCCTTTTTCACATCTTACGTTTATGTCACCTTTGCAGTGACGATGATGATTTTTCTCACAAATGCCAAGAAATGCGTTCTTTAAGCGAGGTTATCCAGTTACTATCATCGATTGGGCCATGCACAAAGCTTCATCCATAGACCATAATACTGCTTTTACTCCTAAGGCTCGCACCTCAAACCTAGACCATATTCCGTTCGCGTTTACCTATCATCCCATTAACAACTCTGTCAAACCCATCATTAATCGTGGTTTTAATTTACTCAAATCTGATCCTACTACTTCTGACATTTTCAAAGAATGCCCTTTCTTTTCTTTTAAGAGAGACCACAATCTGCGTTCCTTCTTAGTTAAAGGCAAAATACCTTCTGATAAACAACCTGGCACTTTTTGCTGTTCTCGCAAACCTTGTTACACTTGCCCTTTTGTTGCTCCCCGTACCTCTGTTAAAGGTCCTAAATCTACCTTTAATATAAAGGATCACTTTGACTGCACTTCATCTAACATCATCTATTGCATTCAATGCTCTTATTGTAAAATGCTGTATGTTGGGGAAACTGGACGAAGATTAGGTGATCGTTTCAGAGACCACCTTAATTACGATATTCGCAAGAAAAATCTCTCTAAACCAGTTTCTAGACATTTCAATTCTGCGAACCACGCAGAAACTAATGCTAATGTTTTTGGTCTTTGCTTAACACATGGTAGCAATAATTCACGCAAAACAAAAGAAATGCGCTTGATTCATTCGCTTGGCACAGTTAATCTGCACGGGATGAATGAACGCTTCACCTTTAATTAGCCACTTCTCACCTACCATTATTATTTTCGATCCTTTTGTTCTCTTTTGTTTTTCGACTTGCTATTTTCTTATTGGTTTGTTTTCTCCCTACACCACTATATAAACACCTCCATCATTCTCTTTCTCTCATTGACTCTGACGAAGGACTAACGTTTGAAACGTCAGTCTATTATCTTTCATATTTACGGTGATAAAATTATCTACTACGACACATTTGTTTCATATCAAAACCTAAGTCTTGATTTCTAAAGGGTGAGCGCTTGCAGATCTTGTATTGGTGAACTTTAAGGTCAAATTGCTGCATATTTGAAAGATCTCCATAAAACCAACATAAGCTGGATCTCATGGTGATTTTAAAACTATATACATCACAGACATGCTTTACAGCCCATAAACCAAGTAGTCAGAGGGAGATTATCGTGGGCGCATGAAACCTTGACGGCTGGAAATCTGAGCTGTTCGAGAATATAATATCTGGAATGTGTTTTTTTTATGGAATAATTTCAGTCTAAATAATCATGGTGGTTTATGCATCTTCCATTCAACTTCTATCGCTGTATGTCTTCAGGCACTAAAAGTAAACAAACACAACCTTTCCTGATTGGCCCCCGATTTGCAGTTGCAGGAGAGGGGGCGCATTAGTATAAAATGTCAGCTGTCACCATTGCAGGTTCAGTATAATACCGCAACAAATCACTGTGAAAAAAAAGACTACACATGATCGATATTTTTTCCCAAGTTTTAAAGCTTGCATAATATTATTATTATTTTATTATTTTTAGTATTGATCTTCACCAATGAAGTTCAACAATACAAGATCCCCAAGCGCTCAACCTTTAGAAATCAAGTGGTTTAAAGCATGGTAAAAATGAACTTTGTTTTACTTTTGGCGAGTTGAAATGTATACTCTTCAAATATTATTTAAAAATTTAAACTATTTCTTGTCTTAGAATTATTTGGATTTATCATTTAGTTTACATTTTCAAAACGTATGTAATTTCGTAATTTTTTCTGGTCAGTCTGCAGTCTGCGTTTGTCGCACACTGTATGGTTTAATACTCAGGTTACTTGTATTTCGGCTACTCAGGAAATACGATCGGCAGGATAAAAAGACTGCTAAAATGCAGCCTAGAAAATATCTTAAAGAAGTGTGTTCATAGAAATGGGAAGGCGATTAAAGTAAAAGAAACATTGCGAATGACTCACAAAACTTCAAACTCCAAAGAACTGTTGTGTGTTTACTGTTACAGTAAATGATTGTACTCTGTTCACCACTAAACTACTAACACTTTCTTATTTTACTTTTGATATTATAAGCCAATATCTACTGCACGAGATATGATCAATAATTTGATGTGTCCAGCTACACAAGGCACCCATTCCAAACATGATACTTACCATTTCATGAGACCACTAAGTACGAGAATCCTAATGACATCTTGACTTACACCTGTTTCGCTGTTATCATAAGAACCAGTCATAAAGTACAGCACTGTCTAAACAAATATTTTAAAAAGTTGGGAATGCTGTAAGCTTTGATTATTTTAGTATAATTTTAAGCTTGAAATCAATATAGAGTTTCACTCAGTGGCGACTAGTGATTATCGTAGTGATACAATATTCACTGATCAGTGATTATGACGTTATTAAAGTTTGCCAGAGCAGAAGTAATACTAAAACGTTATTTTGTCATGAATTTTTCAAGGAAAACTGGACAAACCAATTAATTAGCCTTTCCAGAATTGAGGAAGAGATTGGGAACAAGGTTGGTGTAGACATTAATCTAAAAATCAAACAAACCCCATCAGGCAATAGATCATTCACATTCAAATTATTGTTTATCGAGACTTAGAATGTTTGGGACTGATTAGCAGGCTTAAAACAAATTGTAAAAATAGGAGAAAAACGAATGTATGTAACCCAATACATTCTATGGAATTTTTTATTCTTGTGACTTTTAAAAGCTTGCTACTCAGTAGGTATTTATCCAAACATGCTAAAACTCAGTAATAGTACTAATATTAGCATAATCTTATTGCGATGGGGATCATTTCTTAATTAGGTGAATATTTTCACTCAGCTATAGTTCCTTCCTCAATTCTGGAAGGCCTATGGTAGAGAAAAACTCTCTAGTCAGGAGAGTTACAAGAAATTTGATTTTGTGAATGTGATCCGATGTCAATTCTAAGAATCAAACCTGAGCCCCAAGAAGCAAGAGAAAAGTGGGCTAATGCTATGCCACCCTTGATTCACTAAATTTTTACATGTGAAGTCAAGTCCAGGAATCTAACCTGAGATCCCAGGTGAGAGGAGAGTGGGTTATTGCTGTGCAATTCTTGATTAAATACTCAAGTCAAGGCCAGGAATCCAATCTGAGATCCCATGCCATGGATCCTTGAAAGGATTATTTCAACTCATACTAAGTATATTTGAAAAGGCATTCAATATATAAGTTTTGATATTTACCTCCCATCTTTCAGTAGCATATTTATCTAGAAAATCTGGTTCTCTATTCCTCTTGTCAGGTTCAAGAGTTGTTGCGGAATCAATCCATGGTCTTCCCCTGTAGAATAATAGAAAAAACACATTTTAGACTCCACTTATTCTATTTCTATCATGTATTTGTATAGGAAATCGCACAATCTCGAGTACAATTTGGAAATTAATAGACATGAGTAATGTTTTGAAAGTTCTTGTAATTGCACGAGCCTTTAGGCGAGTACAATTAAAGAACTTTCAAAACATTACGAGTGTCTATTAATTCCAAATTGTACGAGAAGATCGTGCGATTTTTTGTTTATAGTTCACTCAACAAAATTTCAGTAAAAAATGCGAAGCGACGCTGTTCATCTTTGTCTATTTGGCGGCCGATTTCCAGTCCGTGCAACTGAAATGCATAAAAAAGATTAGTTCTTACGGCTTTAAAATTTTATTCATGCTTTTTAAGTACAAAATGATAGAAAATATTTGTTTTGACATTGTTTTGGCCGTGTTGCCATAGCGACTTAATTCGGTACTCCTACGGAGTACAATTAACGCTATAATTGTACTCCTCTCGACCAATCAGAGTCAAGTAATTTTGTTGAGTGTACTATGAATATCATTAATATTTTTATAGTACACTCAACAAAATTTCCCAATTCTGATTGGTTAAGAAGAGTACAAATGATTGTTATTTACCAATCAGAATAGGGTATGCTTATAGTTTATCAAAGTTGCCCTTCAGTCATGGACCAATCAGGAATAAAGTCATTTTAATGCTTTTACTGTACGTATGTACTAAGTGGAATTGGTTCTGAATTGCACTCACAATACCTAGATATTATTATATGTCTAATGAAAACAAAATGTGGTGGGTGTACCGAAAACCTGGACCTAGGCCATGGCCCTACCTATGGCCCTATCTATGGCCTACCTTTGTTTCCCTTATTTCATCTAAATATCAATCTTTTTCACAGTATTTATTGCCAGAAATCTTTTGAAAGAATCTTAGCTGACAATGGCAGCCCGACAGCTATCTTGTTAGCACGGCAGGAGCCCAAACTTTTATCGTAACTAATATTGGGCTTCCTGTGCATTCATTGAGCCAGTTGTTTTGATGAGTCAGCAGATTTGTCTTTCTTGACTTTTGGAGCACGAGGTGAGTTCATATGTTTATATTTCATTGTTTTCATTTCTCTTTTGGGAGAATAGTCTACATACAAGTTTGCTGATGCATTTGTTAGATTATCCACTTTTACACAAGACTTTTAAAGTGCCTATCACCCTTCTGACAATATTCTCAGTATTGATTCTACATGGGGTAAGATGTTGAATAACCCAAAAAAATTACATAGTTTGAGTGCTGCTTCTTGAAGTTATGAAGGTTTTTCCATGCCATATGCTAATGTTGTGACGTATTAAGAAATTAAAGTTCGGCACACCGGAATGTGATTGATTTGAAACAAGATCTAAAACCTGACCGCTTATTTTTGGCTACATGTTGGATTTAGTTCTGTAACTAAGATTATCTGTTTTTTAAGTTACAAATCACATACAGTATATATGATAATAAGACATTAACTGTCAGCTAATCTTTTCACGCATTTAAAAACACATAAATGAAAAACTGACCTTCCATACAATTTGTAAGATTATATAAGGTAAGTCTGATAATTGAAAGTTTTTACAGTACAACTACCTGTACTATTACCAGGGCCAGTTAGAAAGTGAAAACCAATCAAATCGTAGAATAAAAACAATACATTCCAAATTTGAGTAGTGGAGCCACTACTGGATTTGGATTCAGATTAAGAATTGTTGGTAGGGTTTTGACTGGATCTTTTATGTAGCTGTTATTTTATTTGAAGCACCTCCTTTGAAGAGTTAACATTTCATAATGAGTGGGATCCAAGTGAAACTCGACAAATGATTATAGTTAAAGGGATTGATGATATCTTTCATACAGGAGAAAATCTTGAAGTATTATTGTGCAAAGTTTGAAAGAAGAAAGCACATTATATTGAAGAATTGGGTTTGAACTCTGCTGAATAAACTTATTTTGAACCATAACTACATTTGATTTCATAGTTCAGGATGATTGACAGCGTATGGGCATTATATTGGTTTCTTGAAGATCGATTTCAGTTCCTGAACTTCATTTTGCCCTATATATGATAAACGGGTAATCGTATGGTTCCTTGTAAAGAGTAAGGATTAATGTCACTTGTGTTTTCAAAGTTTTGAAATTGCCCTTGCTGCTTAGCGATTCAGGCAATTTTAAAACTTTGAAAACACTTTTGAAATTAATCATACATTTTACTCTGCCCCATGCAATTACCTATACTGATTGGGTAATGATAAAAAGGTAAATTATACACCGTGAAAAGATGAAAAAACTTACTGACATTTCGGATGCAAGTCCTTCGTCGGAGTAAAACCTCTTTTACTCCGACGAAGGACGAGCGTCCGAAACATCAGTAAGTTTTTTCATCTTTTCACGGTGTATAATTTCCCTTTTCATCATAACTGTTTCATTAGAAACACCGACGCAGCTCACACTAGTTTTTAGCTAGTTATATCTTTTTATACTGATTGGGTAAAATAGAAATTCTTACCCTCCACAGATAGCCATTTTAAGGTTGTATTGAAATGTGGAATTCATTTCACATCTATTTGGTCCACCTGCTGTGGTCTCTTTCCATATTCTCAGTGCCTTAAGTTTCTTGACAGACCCAACATGATGACTGTGAAGAAAGGACTACAATAACTACTTTGGATACTATGCATTTGACTTACCATGTAGCCCCAGTTTGCATTTAATTACAAACATAACATAATTATACCAATAATGTGTTCCATTGTTTTTCCATTTCAAAAAGACAGCTTCCTTCTCTTTCAGGGGCAATATGATACATTTATAAACTATATAATATTTCCATTTATTATATAATTACCAATGAAATATCTGTTTTTCTCTATTTCGAAAAATTGATATCTTCACACGTGAAAATAACATGTTATTTTCACGTGTGAARATAACACCATTGCGATGGCTATTCAAAAAWACACGGAAAGAATTGCCTGAAAAAGCMAAAACATACTTCATTGATAATTATATAATAAACAGAATATTACATGGCCGCTTGGAGATACGAATTTTATCTTCTCGTGTTGAAAATCTCTCACGAGTGAGCATAGCTCACTCGTGAGAGATCTTTTCAACACTCGAAGATAAATTTTGTATCTCCGCGCGCCCATGTAATATCCTCTATTTAGTTTTTATAATGATATAGAGGATATTAAATGGGCATGCGGAGATACGAATTTTATCTTCGAGTGTTCAATTGATATCTCATGAGTGAGATATCTAAATTGAACACGAGAAGATAAAATTTGTATCTCCAAGCGGCCATGTAATGTTCTGTTTATTATATAGATATGATGAAACTTAAATAAAACAAAAGCTCAAAAATTCTTTATTAAAATATGTTACTATGTCAACAGTGATATCTTCACGTGTGAAAGATATGGTATCTTCCACTGGTGAAAGATATCAAGTTTTCGACACTAAAGAAAACCTGGTAATTCATCGATATCTATATAATATAAACTGTATTATATTTTCATCTATTATCTCTCTATCTCTTTCATATCATAATTTGTAATTACTTTTATTAGTACATTAAGTTCACATTTCGGTATTTGCTACCACACTTTCAATCTCCTTGATCAAATAAAGAATGTCTGTCTGTCTGTATTGATCTGAGTGAGTGAGTGGAAGATGACACATTTGCATCGTTATTCAAACCGTTTATAGCTATAACTAGTCTCTTCACACATGGACTATTTCACACACCCATTTTTGCCACTCCATTGCTTACTCAGTTATCAAGGCCATCTTTTGCTTTTCTTTTTGAGGCATTACATGTTAAAGTAATATTTATCACTTAGTTGATTTGCTATAAATTAAGGCGTTTTTTTTCATAGAAAAACTAAAGAAGTGTCCCTAGCAACATAATGCTAAATGTAAACAAAATCTGAAATGGCAAGCGTCATTTATTATCATTATTGAAGAAATAGAAAACGTGCGCATGCTGTGTGCTGTCATAAAGCAGGGGGTTGGCAGAATACAAGAGAAGTGTTAAGAGAAGGACCACACGTAGCGGAGTGCTTCTGGACACTTCTCTAGTGTTCCGCCAATCCCCAAGTGCTTTATGACTGCACACAGCACAGCAAGCAAGTTTTTTATTTCTTTTATAAAGTGCAAATTACAATAATAGATAGGAATGACACAACTGAAAGTGTGCGCATGTGCAATGTGCTCTCATAAAGGGATTTCCGGGTTCTCTGGCTTTCCTCCCTCCACAAAAACCAACTATTACAAGGGCGGATCCAGGGGGAGGGTCGGGGGGGTCGTGACCCCCCTGTCATTCCTGAGGTCAAATGGACTTCTTGTAGTAAAAATGCGACTGGGATTCCTTTGCCCACAAAATTTACCCCTGAGACCCCCCCCTTCAAAAAAACCCTGGATCCGGCCTTGTATTAAATTCTAATTCGATCCTAGGAGATATTCACAATAGGGCTAACCTCAATATCTCCTCTCCCATTCACTGATGAAAATAAATTAGTGTTTTTTAAAGACAGCCATAAACAATTCCAATAAATAAATAGATTGAGGAATTTCTAAGCACACTAAAAACAGCACTACAGACAATCTTTCTTACTTGTAGTAGTCTTTTTTTATCCATGTAGTAAAAAGACTTTCTGGTATAGGCTGATCAGTAAAAAGGGTTCTCAATACATAGTGTCTTGCTAATTCAGGAAGTTCCCTAAAATTAAAAACACAAAACTTAATGAACCTATATCTCGAACGCTTCAAAGGTTATAAAATCCTAGTTATAAACATGCATGGGTTGGGGGGGGGATTATATTTGGAAGTAAAATGAGTTTTAAATAAAAAGGGAATGGTTTTTTCATACTGTCATTTTCCTGTCAATTTTTTATTTTACCACAAATTGTTAATTCCTCAAGATTGGTTGGCTGAGAGCCATTGTCCATTAAAGTTTAGACCTGTTTGTATGTGCTGATGGCTTGAGCAGGTCGCATAAAATACAATGGAGCAGTTCCACAAAGGGCTTTAAACTTCACTAAGGGGATCTTAACTAGGATTCTATATTCTATTGCTATACATGTTATGCTATACATGGTACAGTGCTCCTATATATATGGGCCTGGTTGTACAAAGCCTGGATAACGCTATCCAATGGATAAATCCTATCCAGTGGATAAATTCATTGGATATCAGCATCGACTTATCCACTAGATAAGGATTTATCTGCCGGATAGTCCTATCCATGCTTCATACAACTGGTTAGTATAGCAGGGTATGTATATCTAGCCACATAAGATATAGCTCTTATTAACCGAGTGTGAGGTCCATACCGTAAGTTATGGACAGGGTTTTTTTCACTGCCTTATGGCCCAAGCGCATAACATGTAAATGCAAAGCAAAAAAGGCACCAAAAGAAGACCTCAAGAACTCAACATGAGATGGAGAAGAAAACAGTCATACTTCAAATTTCTTCAAAATGCTACAGCCTTCCGTTTGTTTTCATGCCTTTTTATTGGGAAAAAAAATCAAAATCTCTCCAGAAATGAATGAGAAGCTTTGGAAAATTACGGCTCGCTGAGCATGGATAGATTTTTGTCGATTTTTAGCATTTTGATTGTTTGAAGCAGGCAGCCATATGCACAATGGCTGAAGTCATGGAGACGGCACACTTTCGAGTCAATTTAAAAAGGTACTGCCAACTCTCCTGTCCACAAATGCATTCAAATTCAAGTGTGGATGAAATATTACTGAAATATGGGAATACTTCAAGCGGATGAGCCTAGAAAACTGCTTAAAATGTAAACGAAAGAAACTACAGGCTTCTTCACCCGATCGATTCAGATAAGTTCAAACTTGACGTTGTAAGCTTACTGAAATTTTTTCTAGTCGTACAAAATCGCTCAACTAGTGCCGTGTAAAGCCTTGATCGAAAGAGTTATCGCTCGTATAATAAGTTTTACATTAAATGCCAGTAGCTTTCAGTTGTCTTTAATAATTTATTAAGGTTATTCTGCGATTTTCATCCTTAAATATTTTTTATAACAAAGATCTTAATGTTTTAAAAGATCATAAGTAAGTACATGCAGTGAACCATTTCATTTTTTCGGTCAGTACCGTAAGTTATGGACTGCAAATTGACCAATCATAGCGCATGAAATTACCTTGCCATGTAATAAATAGAGGATATTACATGGGCGCGTGGAGATACGAATTTTATCTTCGAGTGTTGAAAAGATCTCTCACAAGTGAGAGTAGTGAACGAGTGAGAGATTTTCAACACAAGAAGATAAAATTCGGATCTCCAAGCGGCCATGTAATATTCTGTTTATTATATAATTATCAATGAAGTATGTTTTGGCTTCTTCGGGCAATTCTTTCCGTGTATTTTTGAATAGCCATCGCAGTGGCGAAAATAACATGTTATTTTCACGTGTGAAGATATCAATTTTTCGAAATAGAGAAAAATAGATATTTCATTGGTAATTATATAATGAAAAATAATATTTTCATGAGTACTAAATGTGTTTATAATAATAATACACTCAAGGAAATTACTCGATTCTGAATGGACAAGGGGAGAACAAATATTAAATCCCAAATTGTATTCTGTAGAATCCTATAAATTGCTCATTTTTGTTGAGTGTATTATAAATAAAAAATGTTTTCGTACAATTCTGAATTTATAGATACTCGTGATGTTTTGAAAGTTCTCAAATTGGACATGCCTAAATGCTCGTCAAATTTTGAAACCTTTTGTTTTCAAGACAGTTCCGAACTGTACTCGACATCGTATACTAACGAATATAATGCTGACACTAGTGCATGCTACTGCACATTCTATCGGAGCACAGTTTATAGTCATTAACTAGTAATGTTAAGTCAGCAAGGAGGTATGACAGAGTCATGAATTGCGACGTGCCGACCTTCAATATTTTAAGACCGGTAGCGCGATAGCAATTTGTTCATTCCTTACCTAAAAACCGTCATACAAGTAGCTGGATGGTTATAGAGTCTATCTAATGTAGTAACAGGAAGATCACATAGATAATCATCTAAATCTTTTAGTTGTAAATGGCGAAAATACTGACTTCCCCACTCCGGGCTCGCCGCCATACTTTATCTCTGCGGTATGTACTTCATATTAACATGCCATATAATCACCATCTTCTTTAGATCATGTATATCAGTATCCATTGTTGTCAACGGTTTACATTAGTATACATAGATGTCTTTCCCTGTCTATGCATCAGTATCCATAGGTATYCATCAGTATCCATGTCTACCTATAGGTATCCATCAGTATCCATTGCTATCCATGACATTCATCAGTATCTGTCAGTATCCATCAGAGGTAGTTACTAAAACAGGTAATCATAGCAAGGGAGAGGAGAGGTGTAAGTATGGAATACTTCTATGGGAGACTATACGTATGGGCGACTATATGGCATTCTACCATGAAGTACATACCTTCCAACGAAAATAAACACTCGTCGATCGATAAAAGCCAATAAAATATGTCCACCAACTGGACGACAAACTCGATGGAGATTCGATTTTTTGGCTGGTTTTAGGTGATTTCAACATGGTTTCAGGTCGTTCCAGTTCGTTCCTCGTTTTAGTAACTTCCGAACAACAGGGAGCCCTGTGTAGGGCCCGGTTGTACGAAGCATGGATAGCGCTTATATAAATCCCGGAGTAGTCAATCGATAAAAATCGATATCGATTTTGCCGATCGATAAATCGATAACAATCGATACCGCTGATTTGATTGATATCGATTGTATCTATCAATCGTTAAAAATCGAACTCACACTAATTTTTTTTTATCGATTTTTATCGATTGATTGATTATATACATATCGATTTTTTTCGATTTATGTTCTTGAACAATTTCTATCGATGAGGGTCGTGTGGCTACGGATTTACACCACCGGCAATTACTCTTTCGTAACCATAGCTTGACACAAACTAGGAGTTTGTTATAGTGATCAGTGAACAGACAAAAGTACTTGGATAATTAGCTGCCTGATCTACATATAATTACTTGTGAATTAATAGTTATAAAATCTATTGCACTATCATCGATATTTTCGAATACTTTCCGTGAAATAAAGCTGATTTTATGATTGTACTCATTATTGGATCGAATTAAAGCTGTCAAATCTTGATCGATAAAGATCGATTAAATCGATAAAAATCGAACTCACACCAATTTTTTTTATCGATTTTAAACGATTTCCCATAAAAATCGATACAAATCAGCTGATTTCTATCGATTTTTATCGATTGACTACTCCGGGTATATATCCAAAGGATAAATCTTATCCAGTGGATAAATTTATTGGATAACAGCATCGACTTATCCACTGAATAAGGATTTATCCGCCGGATAGCACTATCCATGCTTCTTACAACTGGGCCCTATGAGTACTGATGGCGCCATGGACACCGTTGGATAGCGAAGGATACCACGTAGTTACTAAAACGAAGAATAAGCTACAAATTAGCTACAATGACCTATGATAAATAAGAATAAAACGTCAATACAGTCGACTCTCCCGTAAACGACCACCTCGGGGCCAGGAGAAAGTCTTGAAGGAATTTGCTCCAATCCGAGGCGTAGCCTTTTAATGACTTCAAAAATTCATTAATTATTCGGGAGGAATCTTAGAATTATAAGTAATTAAACGACATATCTTGGAAGCTTTGAAACTTAAAGCCGGGAAGGGATTTGAATTCAGCAGGGAAGAGTTTGGGGGTGAAGTTTGAAATATTTATGTTTTCGACATGTTTGACTTTCGACTTTAGTTTTCAGAAAACCTCGGTAAAATTAGAGGAATACAATTAATAGTCTAAGTCGCATTTGAAAGGTTGTGTATATGTAAATATATTCAAAAAACCTTCGTGCACGTACTTGTTTATAGCCACTATTCTCAAAAAAAGTAGAAGAAAGGAAGAATGTGCGAATGGAGCTGATTACGTAATGACGCGCCAAAGAGCTTTTCAGGCTTTCTACGCCGGAATAAAGGATTTTTCACAAAGAGTGATTAATCATAAAATTTTGTATATTTTTGGTCTCTGGGGATGTATTTTTTGTTTATAAGATATGCATGTGATCAAGCTTAGTTTGTCGATTTCAAACATGGAGCCGAATGAGGATGATGATTTCCAGCCAGCTAGGCGTTTTAGAAAAGCTCGAAGTTAAAAGAAGGAAAGCAACATCCTGAAAGATGCAATTCCAATATCCATCAGGTATAAGAACAGGGGCGTAGCGAGGACCTAGGAGCTGGGGGGGCACTGATCCAAATTAAGAAAAAATTTCAAATTCCCACGTGCAGATTCCAGGCTCTGACCGGGTTCGCAGTGCACAGGTAGCCCGTCCGGATAACTTCGTATAAATTCGCACTTTTGTAGGTTGTAATAATTCATTTTCCTCTTTCGTTTCGGTTTAATATGTTTTTTTGTTGTTATTCTTTTTTCAAAAAAATTTTTTTTGCTACTGTATAAGAATAAGTGCGCCGTAAAGCTGTTTGAAGACTGGAAAAGCGCAAGAGTGAACAAATGTCCGCTGGGGGAGGCTTCAAGCTTGTATTCAAATATGGAAGGCATCGAAAGTCTTGCGAAAGAATTTGCTTTCATGAAACCTCAGTCACTGGATTTCTGGGTTGGGAAATTTGTCCAAGAAGTTTCAGACAAAGATGGGAATCGCTATCCCGGCCCTACATTATACCAAATTGTAGCAGGACTGAAACGATATTTAGAATTGGATAAAACCAATTTGAAGTAAGTAGGGAAAATCAATATATATTTCCGTACCGTTGTGTACCTTTATCACACGGCGGCCATGTTTATTCTCATGAGAGTAAAAACCTTTGTTTCACCAGCATAAATTGATTCTTAAGCGCTTGAAATTGAGGCTACGCGTGGTGGAATCTACGGTTCAATCCAACATGGCTGCCGCGTGAATAAGGCCCATTGTTCTTGAAATTCCGCTTTTTTCTGTTTCAAGTTACACGGGTTTGCAAAGGATATTAGATGCAGAAATGAAAGATACCCACAGGACAGGAATAGTGAACAAGAAAGAAGCCAAAGACGTGATCTCTAACGAGGAGAAAAACAAGATGTGGAATGAAGGCCATCTGGGAATGAATTCAGCTAAGTATTTATTAGATACATTATATTATTATAATGGAAATCCTTTTGGGTTGAGGGCAAGTGAGTACAGAATGTTAAGATTAAGTGACATAGAAGTTGGTTCAGATTTTATTTTGTGTAAGGAAAATACTTCTAAAACTTTTCACCGAGGTATCAAAGATCTGAAAAAGAAAACTAGAAACGTAATAAGCACCTGAAGTACGCAAGAAAGCATTTTACTTTCAGCCTTTTTCTGATAAGATGGCATACAAAAATTCTGTAGTAGGTGTTCATACCCTAGGGACCATCCTTCCCAATCTTTGCAAAGCTATAGGTACAGGGCTGTCAACCCCCGAGATATTCAAATCTGGAGAATTGATAGGGAAGGGACATGACGTCACAGCGCGTCAAAAAGCGCGCGAAAAGACGCCTTTCGGTTTTTAACATTTGATGTGATTGGTTTATTTCTGACCAATCAGATTATCGCTTACATTACAATGGCCTGCTTGCAAGGACAGCCATGAGGAACGTTTTGATTTTGTTAGCGATGTAAAATAACACAAACAACGTAAGATAATTGGAATTTTATGGTTGTGAAACTCGGGTCTCACAAGAAAAAATGGTCAGCTTCGGGGATTATCCGGGAGATTTGAGACTCTAATCTGGAGACCGGGAGATACGGCCCAAAATCTGGAGACTCCCGGTTTATCCGGGAGAGTTGACAGCCCTGTAGGTAGTAAGAGAAAAACTAGCCATAGCTTAAGAGTAGAGTGCAAATAATATACCCGTGAAATAGTTGGGATTAAATAGGAGATAGTTAGCGCTTAATTAGACAACACATAGGAATTCAGCGAGGCATGACAAGGGCACGGGCGTTTACTATAGTGACGACTCATTACGCAAATGAACGTTTTTTCTAACAAGTTTATTGAATTGAGCTAAGAATCAAGACACAAGACGTACATTTAAGATGGCTGGACCCCCTCACGCTTGACCGCTACCTTCCACTTTTGGAACGCTGGCGCATAAACGTGTTTTATCCGATTGCAAATCTTTTTTGCACATAAGTCACATAAA